AATTTTTTTTCGGGTTCCAGATGGCAGCCACGCACAGTGAGTGAAGGTGTTTACTTATCTAGTGGGAAGCTGAGAACCTCATTGCCAGACAAAATAGAAGTAACTGGTATTTGGGGTGGGGCTCTTTTTTTTTTTTTTTTTTTTTTAAACTTGAAGTTTTCTGGATTTATGAATGGATTTTTCTCTTCCTTATTGAGCCATAGTGTTGGCTATCGAGGAGGCCTTAGGACTACAAGACATTCTCTGGTGAATCTTGCCTGAGAACTTTAAGATATTGTTTTGCCTCGCTCTCCTGCTGCGGGTTACTATTTTGGTAGCAGAAGTGGCAGGCTGAGAACTGTGCCCATGTTTCGCATGCTCCAGTGCCAAAGCTGTTGTATTGGTGCAAAACCACCCCACAAGGACGGATGCTGGACTGTGGATGGAAGTCGCTAAAGCATGGTCAGGATCTGGTAGCAGGTATGAGAAGCAGCTGGAATCAGTGTCCTATTGTTGTGGGTAGATTTGCTGGAAGGTATTTCTAAGAGCCCCTAAATTCTGCTACACTAGAAATGACTGCTAACTTGCTAGGGAGCGCTTTTGCTAGGAGAGCAGAGCTTCTGCATGCCTAAGGAAAGGTGATGTCCTCTGTATGGAGCATCCAAGTTGGAGAAAAAAAAAACAAAGACGGGAAGATCATTCCTCGGTACTCCTAGAAGTTGTTTGGAATTAGGAAATTTGGGTTGCGCAGAGGAAGGCTGAGTGTTCAAGTGTGATGAGGACCTAAGAGACATCTTCTGTCAACTTCAAAGCCATCAAGGTTTTCCCTGTATGTCACCAGCTGACAGTGACAAAGCCAACTTGAAGGGCAGCAGTTCTGAGCTGTGTCGCTGTGTGAACTTGTAACATAGGATTGTTTTGGCCATCAGGTATGATAGATGTGTGTAATCGCTTTTCGATGTTGTCTTAACCTTTGTAGTGGCAACTGAAGCAGTTAGTTGTGTATACTTCATTAAAAAGACGTTTCTTTTCTGTACTGTGTTTGTTCTGATTTGTTCTTTCAGTAGTCATTTAGGTTTGTTTATCTACAAAATAATAACTACAGAGTGGCTGACTCACTGGCCTTCCAGTTTGCAGGCTGTGTTAAAGAGGACCCAGAAGAAAACTGGAAAACAGGCATATATATCCTTCTTCCCCATCCTGCAGAGACACTTGCTTGTATAATTATTTGCAAATGTTCTAGTGGGATAGTAGTTGATTTTTGATGGAACATAGCTTTGATTTTTCTCAGCTTCTGCTTTTTAATTGCTTACTTTCTGTTTTGAGTGGAAAATTAGCTTTCTAATGTCTCCCTGCAGCTGAAGTCAGGCAGTATGCAGAGCCTTTAAGACAAGGAAAATTGCTATTTTTCTTCAATCTCTGCTAGTACATGCTTCTTCATTCGCTGGATTTTCCTTCGTCATAGACTGGTGTTGAACTTGGCACTTTGGTTTTGCTTATTTCTTGTTGTGTTTAACTGACTTTGAGTCTTAGTAAAGTACAGACAGTAGATTTCCTATTTCAGAAACATAGGAAACTTGTTTGCCAGTCACAGATTTCAATATTAATGTAAGTCAGATTTTAATGCTGTACATTAATACTTTTTTAATAGTCATTTGCATCTTTTTAAATGGATATTTAAAACACATGCAAGAAGTGTGTTTTGATACGCTTCTGTCGTGTAAAAATGTTAGCTGAGGAGTCCTTGTACATGTTCATACAAATGATGGCATTATCTACAAATGGATTATCTTTTCCCCAGTTACGTCCTCATGCCAGCTGTGTCATTGTATTATAGTGAATACTTGTGATTATCTCTAGCGATAAATTTGTAACGTGGTGCCTGACCTAGAGCTGAGAGCTTCGTGCCCATCTTTTTCTTGGAATGTTGGTAACTGATTGTCAGCTGTCTTTATTATGAGGTTTCAAGGCTTTGGTATTAATAAAGAGGCTCTTCTTCTTTTTTTTTTTTTTTTAATATGGAGACAAACTTTGGCTGCAGATCAGTGAATAAACAAAAGAGTTATTGTATTCAGTAGCTCTAGGAGTTTGAGGGCAAGCCTACTTGAGAGTGTTGAGTTCATGTTGTTTTGTTACAGGCATAAATGATGTAGCATTAGTTGTTGGGATGCTCTGTGGCTTATGGTCCCTTTAAATTGTAGCATTTGCTGTTGTCGGCCAAACCAATGCTTCTTTCAATTTTGTTTGTTTAAACAAACAAAAAAGCACACTTTCACTGAAAGACTTGTTATATCTCGTGTGAATACTCTTGTCTTGTAGGGAATTGCTCTGTCTGCCCTGCAGAAATACTCTGCCATCACATCCGAATCCCACTGTGACCTTTGAAAAGCATCTCCCACTCCTCCCTGCCTTGAGACTTCAGGGGTGGGGCTCTTTGTGACATCTTTAAATGAGTATCTTGCGGTTTAGGACTGTTACTGATGTTGTTCATATTCATAAATATATTTTGAATAAAGATGTTGGTGTTAGGAGTGAATCATTGATTGATAGATAAATAGTATGTATATAATGCATATGTAACATCAGTAATGTCCCAAAAGGAAGAGCTGATATGTTTTGGTCAGACCGCTGCCCAAGTTATTCCAGTGTGCATCCTGCTTCAGATCTGAGTGGAGACAAGATATCAGGAAAACACTGGTTAAATGATGAGGGAAAGTGGCAGTGTTTTGGGTGTTTTTTCCTCACTTTAGAAAGGATGAAACTGAATATGCAGGTACTTCAGGATGAGGTGATTTATTTGATTGTTTCAGCTAGCAGGAGGACAAAAGTGGTTGTGATACCGAGCTTACAAGTGGTTGTAGAATATTAATTTTTCCACTTCTGTTTATAGCAGGAAT